CTATTCCAAACGACAATGAAATTCCTGTGAAGGGAGTTGGTAGTTCCACGTTACCAAATGGTTTACAGTTAAACGATGTTTTGCATATTCCAGACTTCAAATGCAACCTGTTGTTTGTGAGCAAAATAACAAATGATCTTCAATCTACTCTAACTTTTTGGCCCGATTTTTGCATTATGTAGGACTTACTCACGAGGAACTTGATTGGAACGGGTAATAATCGCGATGGTCTATATTAGTTGAAGCCAACATTGAAGAGAAGAACAGCAATGATGGCGACACCAAGTATGGAAACTTGGCATAGGAGGTTGGGGCATGCTTCAAACAACAAACTTTGTTATTTAGATTTTTTGGGTAATTCTATTAATAATGTTAGTTTTGAACTTTGTGATTCTTATGTAAGGGCTAAACAAACCCGGTTACCTTTTCCCGATAGTTCAATTAAAACTTCTGAATGTTTTCAATCATTACACTGTGATATTTGGGGTAGTTATCGAGTTCCATCTCTTTGTGGGGCTAGATATTTTTTGACGATCGTTGATGACCATAGTCGTGCACTATGGATCTATCTTATCAAATTTAAATCAGAAGGTAGTAGTTGTCTAACAGCTTTCATAAACATGGTCGAAACACAGTTTGGAAAGAAAGTCAAAAGACTTAGAAGTGACAACGGTGGAGAATTCACGTATAATGCTATGATGAATTTTTATGCTGAAAAAGGAATTCTCCTTGAGACTACATGCCCACACACCCCACATCAAAATGGGGTGGCCGAACGAAAACATAGACATATACTTGAAGTAGCCAGAGCACTAAGATTTCAAGCCAATCTACCCATCAACTTTTGGGGGGAATGCATAATGACAGCTACATACATCATAAATAGACTCCCATCAAAGGTTATTGGCAAGAAGGCGCCTTATGAGATCCTTTATGGTCATTCTCCGTCATACGAACACATGTGAACTTTTGGTTGTTTAGTATATGGAAAAGATAACAAGACAGGGGGAAACAAATTCGAGGCAAGAGGAAGACCTTCGGTGTTCGTGGGATATCCTAATGGACAAAAAGGGTACAAAATTTTTGACATGAAAGAAAAGAAGATCATCACAACACGAGATGTAAGGTTTGTAGAGGATGTTTTTCCATTCAAGACTGTTTTTCCCACCGAGTTCTCTGACCTTTTAGAATCCGATTTCATGAATACTCAAGATAAAGACAACACAATAAACAATCAGATAATGGAAGAAGACGAGATCACTACCAACTTGGACCAAAATGAAATTGAGGGTTCAGAGGATATGGAAGAAACTCAAAGTATGAGTGAAACACAACTCACTGACACGAGTGTCACAACAGAAAATGGATCAAATCTGCCCAATGTTGAAAGAAGAAGCAATCGAACACGGGCAACACCCAAAAGTATAGAGAATTTTGAAGTTAACCTACCGCCATCTATAGACCATTCGCAAACCGTGGCCAACTCAAGTTCCTCAATGGTACATCCTATATCTCATTATGTTTCTTACAAACAATTCTCAAACTCTCACAAAGCTTATTTGTCAGCCATCACCTCCCATGATGAGCCTAAACACTTTCATCATGTAGTAAAAAATCCAAAATGGATAGAGGCTACGAAGAAAGAAATAGAAGCCCTCGAGCAAAATGGCACCTAGACACTTGAACAATTGCGAACCGGGAAGCGCGTAATAGACTCCAAATGGGTTTATAAAGTCAAATACAAATCCACAGGAGAGGTTGAGAGATACAAAGCACGTTTAGTTGCCAAGGGTTTCACCCAAATCGAAGGCATCGATTTTCATGAAACCTTTGCACCAGTTGCAAAACTTGTCACTGTTCGAAGTATGCTAGCTGTTGGGGCCAAGAAGCAATGGGTTGTACATCAGTTAGATGTTAATAATGCGTTCCTGCATGGGGATCTTCAAGAAGAAGTTTACATGAAGATCCCACATGGATTTTCAAAACCAGGCGACACGCGAGTTTGTCGACTGAGAAAGTCATTGTACGGATTAAGACAAGCCTCTCACAACTAGTATCATAAGTTCACAAGGGCACTCTTGGATATTGATTTTAAACAATATCGTGCTAATCAGTCTCTCTTTACCTATAAAAGGAATGACATATATGTTTCAGCACTCATATATGTCGATGATGTTATTCTTGTTGGAAACTCAGATCAGAAAATCAATGAAGTAAAAAAGTATCTAAATGAACAGTTTAGCATCAAAGATTTGGGGCCGTTGAAATATTTCCTGGGCATAGAAGTTGCGCACACATCAGAAGGTCTGGTTCTTAGCCAAAGAAAGTATACATTAGATCTTCTAGAAGAAAATGGGCTTCAAGGATGCCGACCAAGTGACTTTCAATTGGAACAAAATATTCGGTTAGATAACACCAAGGATACCCCTCTTGTTGATGCAAGCCGATACCGACACCTCATTGGAAAGCTATTATACTTGCATGTCACTAAACCTGATATCACTTTTTCAGTGAATACTCTCAGTCAATTCGTTGCAGAACCTCGATAACAACATATGGATGTCATCATTCGAATTTTACGTTACTTAAAATCGACACATGGGCAAGGAATTCTCTTACCCTCAAATGGAGATTTAAAACTCACGGCTTACTGTGATGCAGATTGGTTGGGGTGCCCGATGGATCGACGATCAAAAACCGGATACTTCATAATGTTAGGTGGAGCGCCTATTTCTTGGAAGACGAAAAAGCAGTCAGTTGTTTCCCCTTCTTCAGCTGAAGCAGAATACCGTGCCATGGCTGCCACTGTTAGTGAACTCATATGGTTGCGATGGATACTTGAAGATCTTCAAGCTCCACAAGATGGCCCAACTCCACTATACTGTGACAACGAAGCTGCTAGACATATTACCAACAATCCAGTTTTCCACGAACGTACCAAACACGTACAAATAGGGATGAGCAAAAGGACCGAACCGGCCGGAACCGGCCCAAACCGGGAACCAGCTTCGGCCAAAATCAAGAACTGAATCGGCCCGGCGGTTCTATCGGTCCGGTTCTAACGGTTCCCGGTTCCTACCAGTGCTTGTCGTGTCTTCAAATGTTGGAACCGGTCTTTGAAAAATAGCATCATACGGTTCCGGTTTTTGCCGGTTCTACCGGTTTTTGCCAGTTCTACCAGTTCCGGTTATATCGGTTCCGATTCCTACCGGTTCCCGGTTCCAAAAATCTACAAAAATAACGTCCCGGTCCCGGCCCGAACGGTTCCATCGGGTTCCGGTTCCGGTGCCGGTTCCGGTTCCGGTACCGGTTCCGGCCGGTTCCCCGGTCCATTTGCTCATCCCTATGTACAAATGGATTGTTACTTTGTTCGAGAACGAGTGGAGTCCAAAGAAATTCAGCCTATGCTTATCAGTATGAAGAATCAAATTGCTGACATCTTCACAAAACCACTTGGGACTAAATCTTTCCGTTTTCTTCTTGGCAAGCTGGGCATTCGGAACCTTCATGCTCCAACAAAACCATATCTTCCATATCTTCTCATGTATATTTCTTATTGTATTCAATATCCGTTCCATATATTCAGGGATTTTGTTGTAAACTTTTGTATATATATACCCTTGTTATATATTGAATAAATTAAGCCTTTACAACCAAATTTTCTTTGATTTTCTCAAAAAGGGAGGCATCAATTTCGTACCTAAACATTAGAGGAGATCGGAGGACGATGGGGGAGGCGATGCAATATGGGATTGACGATGCGAGGAGGTGTTGGAGGGTAGCGACAACCGGAAAGGGGGCTGTGACTGGCGTCGAAAGTAGAGGCGATTATGGGAGGCGAGGAAGAGATGAACGAGTGTGGGAGGGCACGAGGATAAGCGCGTCTTTTTTTTTTTTTTTTTTTTTTTTTTCAGATGCCCTGTTAGATCTTATCGAATCAGATGCATTTTTAATTTTCTGATCGTTTTTTAAGTGCTAAACAAATAATCTGAATCCTTAAGGTTTAGACATAGCCACTTTTAAGAGGTATTAAGTGGTAAACAAATAGCCCTTAGTTCTCTCAGATCCTGGATTATATCATCTAAAACCCTTTCCTCCACTATCACTTCTCACAGGTTTGTTGCTTTTGAATATTAAGAATTTTTTCTTAAAAAACTTCTTCGAATTACTAACTATTACGGCTTTCTCCTCACTCGTGAACTCGTCATAGGTAACATCAGAGTCCAAATCTTCAACAATTACTTTGGATTTCTTTACTAGCGATTCCTTCTTTTGCAAAAAATTCAAGAGAGATCCTATATTGGGAATTGACTTCAAATCTTTAGTTTCAAGTCATTTCATGATAGCAACCACCCAAGCTAGACTCTAATTTCATGAGCTTTTATAGCAGATAAAATCAATCTCCATTATGATGTTAATCCATTCATGAAAGTCACTTTTTGCTTGATGTCTCATATTTTCAACTCGTATTTTAACATTCTACTTAGTAAATGATTGAATCTATTAGCCGCTTGATTAATTGATTCACCAAATTTCTGTTTGAATGATCCAAATTCTGAAAGAAGAATTTTTTTTATATAATATGTTTGATATGCATCTTCTGAGTAAAGTTCCTTCGATCATTTCCAAATTTCATTAGTAGTAGGTAAAGAGCTTATGAGTCTAAATGTATCTTGTGGAAGAGCAAAACCAAGATTTCTTTTAGCTCTCAAGTTTCTTTGAAGTCTTTGTCTCTCATATGTGGTTAAATCAGTATTATTTGTAATGAACTCATTTAAATAAGCCAGAGTAATGATATATTTTTTTTTTCTTTTGAGCATTGATGAGGACCTTTGACAATAGCTTGCTAGATGCTTGAACTATAAGTTTTAATTCCATTAATGTAATCTTCAAAATGTAGAACCCAAACCTCATAATCTTTTAGGAACAAAATTAGAATTCTAGCTATAGAACAAATACTACGAGGAAGATTAAAAGCAATAAAATGAGAATTGTCTTTAGAAATTATTTCAGAAAAATAACTTGAATAAGAAATCAAATCTATGAGCTGTAAGATCACACCTTATGATTTGATTAATCAAACACAAATTACACAATGACCACCAACACCAACGTCAGCAGCGTCAACTCAAGAATAATCAGCGTCAATGTGGAGTCCGTAATCTTTACAGATCATTGGGTATTAGGAAATACCACATCATCATTCATTAACAAAGATGGACGTAATTTATAGTTACTACAGTTAGAAATTTTAGAAATCATATATTGTTGTTACTGTCTTACACATTTTATTAATTAAATAACAATATCAATATATATTATAACACGAATAAATATTTTAAATCAAGAAGAATGGTTAAAACGAGTTAATTGCAAAGTTATTTAGGTCGAATCTCCATGCCCTCCACGATAAGACCACTCTTCCGGTTTTGACGAGTTACCTCCTCAAGCACCATCTCAACCTCCCCATCATCTCCTTCCTTGTACTCGAATTCTCCCAACTTAATCTCCATCCATCCATCCTTTCTCTTATGAGGAACCACATAGTTTTCTTGCACACGCCTTGGTCTTCGGAGATAAACATTTTCAGTCTCCATTTCTATCCCACCATAACTTACCCTAGATTTTGCGGGCACAGCAAGTCCGCTGCAATCATCGGTGGTTCGAAAGACAAGATATGCCACATATTTACTCTTTTGTGACAGCTTCACAGCTGCTACTTTGCCGTGGATTTCAAGCCACCATACTTCTCTGAGTATGCACACTTCCGGGAACCTGCACAAAGGGCAATATATATATGTATGAATGCCAAATGCACTATGTGTGTGTGTGTGTGTGAGAGAGAGAGAGAGAGAGAGAGTACCTTGATTCCGGTACATGTCCCCATTCCCAGTATCGAGTGTCATCCTGCCATTCAATGGATAGATCGTTTGCCTCCAACATATAAAACTTTTTCCCATTCTCCTGCTTGTCGATTTGGGAGATCAGTTTGTGGAATAATTACGCGGACAAATTTTAGTCGAAGTTGCTTAACAGTTATATGAAAAACTATAGTTTCCTCATGTGTCATTAGATTTGAACAGTAGATGATACCCAAGGAAAAAGAAAATAATGTATATGACAAGGATGAATGATTCAGGATATAGACCGATCAAGGAGAATACGGGATTCCAATAAACAGAGGTAAGTAAAGTTACTTTTTAGAGCGAAAAACGAGATTAAATCCATTCTTTTGTTGAAAATATAACTTTATACAAAAGATTAGAATCATAGTTACAGAAAATATGCAATAGCTAATATCATATTATATTGTCTATGAATGATAGTTTTCATTCTTGCTATGAAATTAAAATATATTTCCTAAAAAATATGGAATAAAGGACTTACTTGAATATTTATTGCTTCCTCGATTCCCTCGATGATCCTGTCCATGGTAGGGCGTTTCTTAATGTCCATGTTAATGCACTCATGTGCAATTTCATTAAATTTATGAAAAGAACTCATATCAATCTTCCCTTTGAGAGCAGTATCTATTAGCTTGTCAAGTCCATCAACGAGTTGATGGTCATCATAGTAGCTTCTGACCATGTCGATCATAGATTGTGTCTTGGTATCTTCAAAGCGCCTTACATGATAAGCCATCATCCCACTTGATATTTCAAACATTACGACTCCAAACGAGTATATGTCAGACTCTTTAGAGAGCCTACGTCTTTCGTTGTAAACCGGATCAATGTAACACATTGTACCACAAGCCCTTGTCAAGACTTGGGTTTCTGGCTGATTTCTTGGACTTAATCTTGATAAACCAAAATCACATATTTTGGCTTCCATATTTTCGTCTAACAAAATATTTGCACTCTTAACATCTCTATGAATTACTCTCCTGTGCTCACCAACACCAGAGTGTAGGTACTTTATCCCTCTTGCTGCCCCCAAGCAAATCTTGAGGCGTTGTACCCATGTCAGGCATCGCCTCTTATTTGGGTCTTGGAGGTGATGATCAAGGCTGATGTTAGTAGCATAGTCGTAGACTACAATTTGCTCATTTGCCTCTTCACAGTAACCAATGAATGGGATGATGTTTGGATGATTGAAATTTGAAACCATCTTGACTTCATTTTTGAACTCAACGTTTCCTTGACGACTAGTAGGATTAAGGCGTTTGATGGCAACTAAGCGGTTATTCTCAGAGAGTTTTCCTTTGTAGACCATACCAAAACCACCATCTCCGACTTGAGTTTCTTCACTGAAGTCATTTGTGGCCTGAATGATCTCCTCTAGTGGAATTCGACATTTTTCTAGGTTTACCCTTGAAGAAGACATTATTTTTTTATTTTATTTTGGTGATTATGCAGAGTTATGGTAGTAGCAGCTTTTCTGTGAAAATATATAGAACTGAGTTTGGTAATTAGAAGCGCGTACCTATATTGGCCATGGCTTAAGAATCTTATAAGTTATAACCGTTGACTGACTTCTATCTAGTATATTTTATCTTAGCAAGACATATGATAGTTGCAGGAGTGGAATTAAAATTAGTAATGAAATCTCGAAGTTAACATAATAAAATAACAATGCCATACAAGTCGAAGTGTCAGACGTAATTTTCAAACATAATAACTAGGGAACAATGCATGTGGATCAAATATGAAAGAGTCAAATAAATCTAGCAATGTCCATTATGGCGGCTTTTTTTTCAAGTGGTGATTAGTTAGTTGATTCAGATAGAGTCCACCGCAATTTTAATACTAGTATTTTATTTATTATTATTATTATTATTATTATTATTATTATTATTATTATTGTGTGTGTGGAAGCAACACTATTAGAACATTGAGTATACTATTAGAACATTGAGTATGCCCCCCCCCCCCCTCCCCCCCCCCCCATCTTACATGCCATATAAATCTTAACACCACCATATTCTAAATCTTCACACCACCATAACATTATCTAGCAAATGGTATTCTAATGTTATAACTTGCTAAGAGGTAAAAAAAAAGGTAGAGAGAGAAAGAGAAAAAGAGAAAAAAAAATGATTTTGATTCGTTCTTAGTTTCTCTTTTTTGATATTTTTAATAACAAGGGGAGATGTACAACGAGATGCAATGCCGTTTTTTGGCGTGTCCATCTCATTAACTGATTCCAACATAAAGAGTAAATTACATGAATGACCCTTATGATTTAGGGTAATTTACGCGTTTTGTCCCTATGATTTAGGGTAATCTACGCGATGTACAACGAGATGCAATGTTATTTGGCGTGTCCATCTCATTAACTTATTCCAACATAAAGAGTAAATTACATGAATGGTCCCTATGATTTATGGTAATTTACGCGTTTGGTCCATAATTTATTTTTTTTTTAACTCGGAAGGTCCATACTGTTTGTTTTTGTTACGCGTTTGGTCTCTATTTTACCTAAAAAGATTATTTTGCCTTTGGATTTTTTAATTTATTTAAAAAAAAACACACCCTCAACCCCATCCCCATCACCTTACCTTACCTACCCCATCATTTTTTCCTATATAAATAATAATCTTTTTAGGTAAGACAGAGACCAAGCGCGTAACAAAAACAAATAGTAAGGACCAAGCATATGACAAAAACAAACAATAAGGACCTTCCGAGTTAAAAAATAAGTTTGGGACCAAACGCATAAATTACTACAAATCATAAGAACCATTCATGTAATTTACTCAAACATAAATTATAGAACACCAAGAAGAAAAATAAAAATTCATTTCATGGAGTTAAGGTTGATACAATAGTTTTAGAATAAAAAGCGAAGAAAATAGGAAATTCTTCAAAAGTTGTGAAGGTAAACATTGATGATTATGTTACTTACACATATTTTAGGAAAGAGGAGTAAGGCAAAATAAGGTTAAAATGAGTGATTAAAAGTCAATACCTTTTTTGCCATTCGAGCAACTGTCGAGAACATTAACTCGTTAAGTTTTCACCAATCGAGGATATCAAAGATATTGTTGTACTTCACTAGCAACTATTTCTAATAAATTCTTAATATATTGTTCATCGCATTCGGGTTGTCACCACTCATATTAAGGAAATTGCCTAGAAAGTTTGTTATCACGATCACAATTGACGAATTCACTCCTAGAAAACAACTCTTTAATGACACACAAACAATGACACTCACCGATTTACGATACACATTTTCTGTGTGTCCTTAAAATAATGTCAGCTTTCTCGATCGAATTTGAAGGATAGAAGACATGTATTTTTTGTGTGACCTAAAATTAGTGTCCAACAAAAAAAATTACGAACATGGAGGGTGATTTTCTTAAATGTGTGTCTTCTATAAATGTTGCGTTATAATTTTTTAGCCAAACACACGTTTTTAAAGGGGGAAATTGAAATAGTCTGAAATTCTAAAATTTTGAGTACCCCGCTTCTGCACTATCTCCTCTGGATCTATCTCTCTTCATTCCATCACTCCATTCTCTCTGCAAACTGTAGTCCATCGCCACCACCATTAAACCTTAAAAACTCAATCCACACTTTACGCTTCTGTGATTATTTCCTCTTCGGCTCTCTAATCTTCGATTTCGCTTTTAAAAACATTGATTAAACTCCTCGCTTCACCTATTGTCTACAAAATAATTAATGTTGATTGCAACCACCTTCAAGCACGATACCTCTCAGCTACACATCCAGAATAAGAACATACATCATTCTCAAAAACCCCTTAGCTTCTTCATTATTCTCGATAGTGTGTGATTTCTAGGGCTCGAAGCAACCTCCTCTATCTTACATTGAAAATTATTTCCCCCTCCCCTCACCGACCCTTTTAGAGCGATTTCTAGGGCTTGAATCAACATTGACCCTTGTCGACAATCCATCTGATGCCCTCATCGCATTTTCTTACCTTTCGAAAATTCTCTTGGTGTTCCAGCTGAAGCATCTTGGCTTAATACATATGAAAGATTATCACCATGTTGGAAATCATTTGTTCGTCCTTCTCAGGTAATTCGTCCTTCCTTCTCAAAATTGACTGTAGTTTTTTTTTTTAATTTGCTTTCAGTTAATTCAGATTTTCACGTTAGTCCAAACGAAAACAATGTTTAGGTTATGAATCTGACGTCGAACTAAATAATTAAACTCATAGAGTGATCATTTATTAAGCTGTTAGAAGCAAAATCAACTTTTAGGATTAGGAATCTCGTATCGACTAAATGATTAATCTTAGAGTGAATTAATTAAGTTGTTGGAAACAAATTTAATGCTCAGGAACCTCATATACATTCATCAACATCTTTCTCGAAGAAAACAAATGGTTTTTTCATATTCATGAAGGTTCCTTATCTCCTCTCCTTTTTAACAGAGATCTAATTGATTCGTTGGTGAATTCTCTGTAGTTTGCAATTCCATGCGAGACTTGATGTTGAGATGTCAGACATGTTGAAAGAGCAATTAGTCAAGGTTTTCTCTGTAATGAAGGTATATTATGAAATAATCTAGTTTTTTCTTTTTGTTTTCCTTTTTAATTTCTTATCAAATCTTTTCCTTTTGGGATTAGCCAACATTGCTATTTTAGTACGAAGCTGAGCTTGATGCGTTCCTTGAGTTTCTCATTTGGAGGGACTTGGACTGTCTATTGCTAAGAAGATATGGTATTGTGTTGCTACAGTTAGTGGGCAATATATTTGGACTCGTCTATAGTCTTTTTTCTTTTCGTCGAGGGGGTGATTCTAATTAGGTATATGCTATTCCATGTTTAGATTTCTGTAATTGCAATCCTTTGCATTTTGATGGTTTTGCTAATTGGAATACGTTAATGGCTTAGTGCTGCTGGAACTTATTTATAACTATCTTTTGAAACAAACCTTATTATTATTATTATTATTATTATTATTATTATTATTATTATTATTATTATTATTATCATTATCATTATCATTATCATTATCATTATCATTATCATTATTATTATGAGACAATTGTCAATTTTTGACAACCACCAACACCATCTTCATGTCACCTTCTCAAGCGAATAGATCTATGTTGGGAACAACGATGAGGGTAACAAGTCGAAACCCTAGCCGCCGTCACCTTCAACCCCCTACTAGATCTCGTCGTATGTTTAAAAAACCCTATCTTTTTCCTTAGTTTGAGACTGGATTCACATTAGTGTTCCTCCAATTCACTCAAACGAAGGCTTCGATACTAACTTGTAATATTCATAAAATTCAAAAAAATTTAAAAATTTTTAAACATTCCAAAACCATTCGTTGTTTACAAATTGTTTTCAAAATAATTCAATATAAGAGTTTTCCTAGAAATCCCAACATGAAAAATGAGGAGGTGCACGATCACGCCTTTGCCTTCCCGCGATCATCCAAAGTACCTGAAACAAAATCCATAACTATAAGCACGAAGCTTAGTGAGTTCCCCTAAAGTAGCAAACCCACACACAATAATACATATCACAAACAACATATTATGGGTCCAATCAACTATCGGATGGGAATACCACAAGCCCCTCAACCATCGGGTTGGAATGCCAATCATACTGTGGGTCCAATCAACCATCGAGTTGGAATACCCCAGGCCCCTCAACCATCCGGTTGGAACGCCAATCATACTATGGGTCCAATCAACCATCGGGTTTGAATACCCCAGGCCACTCAACCATCGGGTTGGAATGCCAACATACTATGAGTCCAATCATCCTCGGGTGGAATACTATGGGCCCTTAACCATCGGGTTAGAATACCTCGGCCTGTTGGCTTACGCACAAAGTAGTGAAGCCTCAGCCACCTATCAAACATGTGTACATATAATATATAATCACATAATAGTCTATAGCTAGTTAACAGATCTAACAAATCATAAACATTGTAACATCCTATCTACCTGGATACAGATCTAACAGTTCATAACAACATAGCAACATCCTATCGACCAGGATAGTGATCTAATAGATCATAATAGCATAACAACATCCTATCTACCAAGATACTGATCTAACAGATCATAGCAGTACTTAAGCATACAACAAATCATCATAACAATCCAAAGGGCCGACCTTGGTGCCATATACCCTGTTAGTACAGTGAGGAAAACTCACCTCACAAGTGATGCTGAACTGGTAGGAATCAAGTCTCGACTAGTACCTCCGAATTCAACTGCATGGGGCCACCATATGACTAATTCTATTAAAATCCCAATTTACCAAAATACCCCTAGAAGTCAAACTTGGTTAACCCTGGTTAAAGTCAAAGTCAACAGTCAAGGTCAATAGTCCATGTTGACCCAACTCATCGAGTGCATCAGGCAACTCATCGAGTTCCTCTAATGTTCAAAAAACTGGGAAAAACCCTAACCAACTCGTCGAGTTATCTCACAAACTCGTCGAGTTTACTCGAAATCCAGAAAACGGGAAAACTCGGCTCAAATCATCAAGTTAGCTAAGAAACTCGTTGAGTTCCTTCAGTTCTATGCACACTCAGTCATTTCTAGTCGAATCTAAAGCTCCAAACTACAGATCTAGTCCCTTAGGATTGAGATACCATGTAAA